GGGGAGACCAGCACCCAAATATGCTAGTCAGTATCCAGTCGAGAGGACCGAAAGGGTAGGTCGGGCACCCAGATATGCCTGACAATATATGTATATTATGTGGTTGTTTAGTATGTGGTACGGTGGGGGAACTCACTACTTCGTGCTTACGGTTTTCAGTTGTTGTTTCAAGTGCCTCTTCAGCGAAGGGGAAGGAGCTAGCGTGGTAGCGGCATATCACACACACGCTCTTTGTTTTCCGTACTACGAGATATTCTGGGATTTGTACTCTGACATTATGGTTGTTTTTATGTTTTGGTTTCGGACACAAAATATGTTTATGAAATGATGATGTTTATTCCCCAAATGTTTCCCAAAGTGTTGATTTAAAAATGAAAATTTTGGTTGTGAAAAATTGGGTCGTTACATACATGCTTCGTTAGTTTTGTGAATTTGATTAAGAAAATGTGTTTTGAGCTCCTCTAACCATTTTAATAATAAAGAATAGTTTAGGTGATTTGTGCTTATAAATTGCTATAGCCAAGTTAAATTAAATCACAAGTGTTGTTCCATTTTGTCTAATGATAAGTTGACTAAGAAATTCATGTGGTGTATTCCAAAATTAACCAACTTCCCTTCATTATTTTGAATCAAATCATTTACTTGTTTATTTTTAATTTCTACATTCAAGCATAGTTTTAGTTTTCTTAAAACAATCAAAAAGATTTAAACCCCCATTTTACTTATATTTTTTTTCACAAGTACTTACAATGATTTCGTAGAGATATAAATTGAACCAATCTTTGTGGATACTATCCCTTCACCATTAAACATATTTTGTGTGTAAGATTTAGGTTATTAATTTTGTTGGCATCAACAACCACCACTAGTAAGAACTTCATCTATATAAGCTTACTACATCATGCATCTATAATGAGCTATAATTTTCAATTATATCAACTTATCATATACTACAACAATAATCAACTAACTATTTATCAAAAATTGTATCTTTCATCAACATAACAATATCAACATATCTAGATACCAAATTAACAAAGAAGGAATCATGGTTACTTACCTTAGGTTTTTACTTAAGGATTAGTTCCAAATTCATGTAGTTCTTTACCATCTTTTGTTTCCTGAACTATCAAAACAGCACAGCATAATTCAGTATACAAACCCAACAACATAACTAGCATCTTAAAGTAACTTAACTTCATAACACCCCTTTACCTTTTCCATCATTTTTTCAATACATATTTGATTTTGAACTTGAACATACAATTTCATCTCTTTCTAGTTTTCATCCATTAATAAGCATATTAGCTTTCTTTTAAATTTCAATTAGTTTACCAATTTAGGATTTGATTCAAAATTTCCCAAATCATCACAACAAAAGTTCCATGTTCTTAGCAACTTTCTCCAAGTTAGGGTTTAACTCATCATTCTAAATTTCACCATAACAAGAACTTCAAGCTTTTACTTGGAAGTTCAAAGCTACTAAACAAGTTTTCTACACCTTACTTATCCTACTCTATCAAACTTTTCCTTATTTAATAACACATAGCAACTAGGGTTCATTATCCCCTTTCAATTTGAGTAATCAAGAAAGAATCATCAAGAGAAGAAACAATCATACCTTGTTTCGAGTGGAGATGAAAATTTATTGTATTCCTCTTGATTTCCTCTTTAATTCTCTTCAAGTTGGTGTTAAGGGACCTCCATAAATGTTTTCTTTTGTTTTGAGAAACTTTTAGAAGGTATTTGAAGTGTTTATTGGAAACTATGAACCGACTCACCCATTTATCCATGTTGTTGAAAACTCAACACTAAACACGAGTAGTATTTCCAAAACATGGTCGTGTTTAGCCAAATAATCCTAATATAGCATCGTACATTGTTTAAATATATTTTAACACAATTCAGCCATGTTGACACCAAAACATAAACGTGGATCGTGTTTTGTGTTACACGATCATGTTTTGGTCCAGTTTGTCCGTTTTTGGCAGTGTACCTTCCCAACTCAACTCTAGTTTACCCCCCCCCCCCCTAAACTTCAAATTCCCATAGGTCATGATTTCCTCATACGGACTCTGTTTTAAGCGATTCTTTCACTCACGTGTTCTGCATCATCATGGATAAATTTTATGATCAAGATTTAGTCCGTTAGACCTCATTAGATCTAACTTCCATAGTAACAAACATCGTCTATCAAATAACGACTTATTGGTATTAAATCAGCAAATCTTCTCAAAACAACATGACTTTTCATTATATTATTTTACCATTGTATGCAAGAGTAATTATCATACAACCAACTATTTTAAATGATAATTATACCACGGTTTACTTTTACAATTCATAAAATGAGGAGTTACAATATATTTAGAAACTGTCAAAAAAAATTGAATCATACAACCAACTATTTTAAATGATAATTATACCACGGTTTACTTTTACAATTCATAAAATGAGGAGTTACAATATATTTAGAAACTATCAAAAAAATTTGAATCATACAAATATCCTTAATTATAGAGATGTGGTTATTTTTATTATTAATTATATTACTTAAAAGTCTATCTTTTCCTTTTTAATGAGTTTGGATCGGATGAAGAAATCATATTAATAACCTCCATAAGTGTGGTATGAGTAGAACTCACTCAACCCAATATCACATCAGCTCCATATTAGGTTTTTTCTTTCATCTTTCTCAATTCACAATATATATAAATAATATTTCCCAACCCACTTGTCACATCATTATTTTTAATTTAATTAAATTATAAAATATAAAATTAAATAAAATATAATATGTTTTTAATTAAAAAAACTAGTATACATAAAAAATACACGATAAATAAAAAACAATAAATAGAAAAAAAAAAAAAAAAAAAGACAACATTAAAAATAAAAAACAACAATTAAAATTAACAACGGGTCATGAAAAATTCTATAACTCTCAATCATATTTTTCTGCAATTTGTTGTTTTCGTTCAAGCACTGTTCATAAAACATCTCCTGTCAAGTGATCATGTAGGTTGAGAAAAAATTGCATGTCTCTCTCCTGTATCTCCATGCCCAACAATTTGGCTTTCCTTTCTTCATTTTCTCATTTAAGACACAATTTTTCATCCCGACATCCCTTTCTCTTTTCTGCCTCTTTTTTGTTCATAGTGTGGATGCCAACAATTTCGTTGACCAGGTCAACGATTTTATTTGGTGTTGATGCTTCGGATACCGTTTTTTTCCTTTTCATTGTCTCTGAGGTGGTGAGGTCATGTCTTGGTGTTGTTGGTCGAACCTGGGGGGAAATTGTGCATCCGAAGATGTTGTGTTGGCTTTGGATGAAGAAGTTTTGATTCGTTTTGAAGAATGAGGCATGGATTCTTCACCGGTTGTTTTTACTTGCAACCATTTTGCATGCTATTTCAAAACAACCCAAGCTTTTTCATGAGAAAAAGATTTCTAATTACTAAGTCTTTGTTACTCGCTTTGTGCATCTTTTAGAGCATCGACATCGGATCTCCTGCTAGCAAGACTGTTTATCTTACGATTATAGATGTAGTTGAAATCATTGAATTTCTTTTGAAGGTATTTCCATTTTGAGTTTACTATGTTCGATACGTCCCACTAGTTGAACATTAAAATGTTCTAAAACTAGCTCCCAAAATGCATCCGACCTTCGGTGATTTCCATGTTTTTTTATCTTCAGAAACATCGACAAACGCCCTAGCCAAAGTCACCTCTTACTTTTCCAACCATTTTGTGACTTTTGACGCTTTGTGTAGTCACGTTTGTTCCCGGCAACTGGTTGTTGCTCATTGTTATCTTGTTCGAGAGCAGGCTCGTCGTAGAATCTGATGATTCTATGTTTTGAGTATCGTGGTACTAGGATACATCGGGCGGAGAACTTTGGAATTACGTTTCAGGAGCCCCTTGAGAATAATGCATTTATTAAGTAAAACCCATATTATCATGTGGAAACGAAATAAGTTGTAGCTTTGTCATAGCAGGTATTGTTAATAGTTTGGGTTTTGCTGATAGTGTTGGTATTGTTGATAGTTTAGATTTTATTGGTAGTTTTGGGATTGTGGAGAAAAAATGGAATTTCTTTACTTGAACCGCCTTGCTTCGATTTGCGTTTTAGGATAGAACTGCCTTGTTTTGATTTTCCTCTGGAATCCATTGAGCGGAAATGAGAGAAATATAAGGACTTTATGGAATTATATAGAGAAATAGAGAGAAATATACAGATAAAAAAATTTAGTCAAACAGGACAATTGATGCATGCATGCTTTTCCTCGAGATTCTTCACCAAACTCATGGGCTACATAACCCGCTATCTCATATTTTGCTCGGCCCAAGCACCCCCCCCCCCCCCCCCCCCCCCCCGCGTACCACTTGCCCAATTCATGTCTTCCCAAGCCACTCCGCCCACCCTAAGATTATAATTATGTCACAATCATTTTTACCGAATAAGTATTTTGTGTAGTAGTTCAACCATAATAGTATTGTTTTTGACCGTTTGTTTTAAAATTGGCAAAATGCAAAGAAAACACAATATATTGTTACCATTTCGTCAATTTGGGTATCAAACTATTATTTTTTTTCATTGTTGTAATGATTAGCTCAATAAAATACATAAATCGATATCTAAATGGGAAAAGAAAACCACACTTCATAAAATAATAAGACACAATATGCTGTTCTGCTGTAATCAAAAAGGTGTTTTAAATAATTATATAGTTAACGATGAAACAGTGAAAGATACATATGCTTTTTCAGTATTTTATATACGCTTGTGGTAAACATAGATGTTATGTTGCATGTGTTGTGGGACATAGCCTTTTAATATTTTATAAACTTGGCCATTAAATAATTGGATAGTGGCAAAATCATGTTCTCATGTTACATTGTTCAGATCTCAGAATGATTGATGCTCAGAGCATGGACTTTTCTGAAGCCTCATGTGCGTTCTTAAAGAAACATTAAATAATTCTCAAAAAGTAAAGAATGTCTTACTCATTAACATGCTTCAACAAATACATATATATAAAAAAAACACCCTTTAATCAACAAAAAGAAAATAGATCACAGGGATATTTACGTCTTTTGCATAAAAGAGTGGGAGTAGGTTTAATACATGTCAAACACAATAGAGTCTGTTTTGTTAACTATGTTTGAACAAAATAGAAGAGGGATGAAAGACATATCAAGACATCTGTCAAAATGAGTCCCACAACATCGAAAACAAATTTTGGAGCGAATAATCCCCAAACCTAAAAAAAAAAAAGTGGAAAAAGATTCAGTTGAGTTGAATAATTGTTTTTTAATATTTTTTTTAATAATTGTTTATATACCATCAAATGTCGTCTTTGGATTATGACACATAGAACAGTGAATGTGGTTGTTATAGCCATAATAAGCCCATATATCAGATAAACCTATATAAAAAAATTAACAAACTATGATTTCAAAGAGATTAACAAAATAAAGGGTTAAAATTAAATAAAACAGGTTATAAAAAATAACCTGAAATAATTGGATTAAGGAGTGTGGTGTTTGTTTGGGTTTGATAGATGAGTTATAATTGTATGCAACAAGAAATGGAAGTCCAAGAGTTGGAAGAATATGAGAAAAGCCATATGTTTCGATTGTTAGAAGGATGGCTTGGGGTATAATAGTAAATTCATCAAACCTGAAACAATTTCACACTTTACTACCAATTTAGAAATTGTGTGATATTAAATAAATAAAAAAAACACTAACCCAACAAATGCAGCAGCATACCGAAGTCCATCAAAAGCACACCTTCATAAAGAAACAACTAACTTTACTTAATACACAAATAAATGAAAATATGGAATCCAAAAACCATTATAAAAAATCTAGAATTTCCATTAATTTCTTACCAATGACCAGTGCAAAAGAATAAACATGATCCAAAAAGGCTCCATTGAGTAACAGAGGAAGAATAGCAAGCTAAAACACCAATTTTAGCATTCTTTTGATCCTCTTCTAGGCCTTTTAGCCTTGATATCATCCACCCTACAAAAACAATAAAGTAAAAGATTGTATGAAATGGTTGATGGGGTCGGGGTGGGGTAGGGTGGGGTAGGGTGGGGTGGGGTGGGGTGGGATGGGGTTAGGGGGTACCTCCAACAACCAAAGCCAAAGCAATCCAAGGACCTTGTCTCCCAGACAAGATCATGAGAGTAGAGCTCCATGAGGATAACATAGCAACTCCTTTCATCATTGTTGTTTCTCCCCATTTTGCCCTTTCAACTTCCTCAAAAAACCGAAAAACTACTAGTGACAATAACTGTGCGATACCCATAATGTAAATTACACGAGGGATGACATTGCCTTTTATGACATCAAATATGGGATGTGTCATATTTGATAAGTTACTTTCTAAAATCCAATGTAATGCAACTAGAATGTAACTAAATATACTTCCTGTAATAACAAGTTTCAAAACCCATTTACAGGAAGCAATGCTTTTGTAAAGCATGTAGGCTAATATGATCAAAGGTAGCAATGGCGCCACGTCAGCAACATACATCTTGGAGTCCAGTACTTCATTGGAACCTTGCTTTGATAAGTTGAGTTCTATTGTGAATCTTAGGATGGAGATTATTAGAATAAATGTAGTTGCCTGTGAACAAGAAAAAATAAATAAAGAAAAAAAAAAAAAAGATAATGAACAAAATCGTAATTTTTCCTTACTTCTAATATCATCTTCTTTCTCATGATTGAATGGCGTAAGCTCAGAACACCAAGAGACCCCAAAAGAAAACTCGTCATTTTTCCTTCTTCCACTAAATCAGATAAAAACAAAATATTTTCAAAGATGAGGATGAGGGCATTTACGTCTTTTTGCACAATCATCACTTACATATGTAACTATTTGATAAGAAGCTACACGCACGTGCAGCCACTAAAACACAGCTCACGATCAGCGCAAAGGAGACAGGACTAGTTTCGTTAGGGGCAAATACGTCTTTATGTACGCGATCCACCTTCACGATGAAAAGTAAATGGACGAATATGGACATGAATAAAATCCCAAAACCGATGCCCATCGTCCTTAAATTAAATTCTGTGAACTTGGTGCGTGCCAGCTCAGCAACACTTGATAAAAAACTAGAATATAAATCTATTTGTGTTTTGAGAGAATCAAATGATGATGTGGCATGGAAGGAAGTTGAGTTTGAGTTTGAGTTTGACCAGGTGTTGACTGCTTTAGCATACATTTCCTCTACATGCTTCAAGTCATCAATGGAGAAGCCTATAACTGATGAAGCTGTGTAGACATCTATGTATCTCTTCACCTACGTGAATATTAGAAAAAAGGAAGGGCTAGAATGTAATTTTACAAACGATAATTTTAAATTTTTGAAAATGTATTCAAGTTAAAATGTTCACCTGCCAAGAATTGACACAAAGTACTTTTGCATAATTTTGCATCCATTCTTTGACTTTTTGTTGACTGAGGCCTTCTTCAAGATTCTTCCATGTTCCAGCTACTAAACCATATAGCATTGGATTAACACCACCAATGCTATTTCAGTAAAAAAAAAAACAACAAAGAAGTTTTAATTGGTGAAATAAAAATGATCAAATTATATAAAAAAAAATTTTATATCATTTATACCTTCCATAAGGAAAGGGGATCCCAAGTAAAGCTGACACTGTTGCAGCAAAATCAAGCTGGAGAGTTTAATTAAGTTAAGATTTTATAAGAAAACTGAAAATCATTATAAAGAAAATCCAATATATGATATGGAATTATGCATTAAGAATATAGAGAATCAAACCTGTTGAATAGAACTAACACAAACCTTCCTTCCAAGCTGTGAATACAACAGAAAAATGAGTACTAGTTATAATAAGAGTAGGGGTAATGTTGTCAAAAACAATTATTTAACAGAATAAATAGGAAATAGTACCAGATCTAGTTTACAAGATGAGGCATCAAACTCTGATGGAATAGGAAGTGGAGGCTTTTTCAAACTCATTGCAAAAATTGATGTTTCAACCTGCATATATCATACCTTACAATTTATACAATTACAGATTTACAAATTTACAAATTTAAAATATTATTACATACCTCTTCAGGAGTTCCACCACCATGATCACCATTTATAGTTTGTCCATGATCACCCATAACAAGAAGCAAAGTATTTTCATGGAGGCCACCTTTAGCAGATTGGCTCTGAAGCACTTCCACAACTTTCTGAAGTGGAAAAATGGCACCAATTCAATCAAAAGTGTGAGAGAAAAGATTATAAAGAATATAAAGATAATTATATATCATTTAATCTATCATATTTAAGGTTTAAAAACTTTGTGATTTGGCTCCCTATATATAAAGCTAAATGCAGGAAATAGCGATGTACTTCCATTTATTTGTGTGTTATTGTATGCTGCTTTCATTTATTTTTAGGGTTAATCTCGTAAAAGACCTTATAATTTGTGTTTTTTCCGGATTAAACCTCAACTTTATTTTTTTTCCTGAAAAAGACCTTGTATTTTTTCATTTTTCTCGATCTGGCCCTTTTATTCATCTTTTTCCGAAAAACTTGTAAAATGTGAGGGTTTTTTCAGGAAAAAAAAAGAGTAAATTACACGAATGGTCCCTATGGTTTGGGGTAATTTGCATGTTTGGTCCCTAACTTATTTTTTTAACTCGGAAGGTCCCTATGGTTTGTTTTTGTTATGCGTTTGATCCCTACTGTTTATTTTTGTTACGCGTTTGGTCCCTATCTTATCTAAAAAGACTATTATTTAAAGAGGAAAAAATGATGGGGTAGGTGAGGTAATGTGACGGGGTGGGATTAGGGGAGTGTTTATTTAAATAAATTAAAAAAATCAAGGGTATAATAGTCTTTTTAGGTAAGATAGGGACCAAACGCGTAACAAAAACAAACAGTAGGGACCTTCCGAGTTAAAAAAATAAGTTAGGGACCAAACATGCAAATTATCCCAAACCATAGGGACCATTCGTGTAATTTACTCAAAAAAAAACTAAAAAAGTCGAGGCTTTTTTTGCGGAAACAGTTAGAAGGGTGAGGTTTTTTTGGAAAAATGACAAAGTTGAGGGTTATTTCGGAAAAAATGAAAAAAAAAAAAAAAAAAAAAAAAAAAAAAAAAAAAAAAGACAATAGAAGGCCTTTTATGAGATTAATCCATTTTAAAGCATTGTATTTCCAACCTTTTTCGAAAAATCTAGCCAATTATAATTTATAGAATTGTACTTTCAATTTGTTTATTTATTAATGCTGATAGAACTTGTTAGATCACTTGAAATTTAATATCACCTAATTTACACAAGCATCTATAAGGGCATATACCTCCAATTGCTCATTATACTGCTCCAGTTTCTCAATCATTTGAGCTGAATCAACACCAAATATATGTCCAGCATGATCCTGTTTCACCCAAAATAAATCACCACCATGCTTATTCTCATCTATTATATAATCAGAAACTACATACTAAAACATCATCAAAGTTTATTTCCCAATAAGGACACATACCACACCAAGAAAATGTGCTATAACTACATCCCAATCATCATCATACAGGGTTGGAACTAAGTGACTGATACAACCATTATCCACCTGGCAAACAAATCGGTTACTTACAAGAACTTCAATCAATTGAATATCAAATGCAAGAACAAAGTAAAAAGCATACTGTATCCAGATCTTTAACATTAAAAGAGGGGTAGGGATATGATTTATTGAAGTGATTGGGAAACAACTGTGTCCAAGTATCATCTCCCATCATTACAATTCGTTTTCCATTTGCAACAAGCTGTAGATGGAAATATAATAAGAAATGGGCATTGAGAATTTCTTAAGAAAACCAACTCAAATCCCTATAAGGAATTAAGGATCAGAAAGAAAAGAATGATGATACAATGTCATATCATGTATGATTAAACCAAACCTGATGTATAAGATTATCTTCAACAATTGCAGGGGCACCAAAGCTATTCCCTATGTCGATAAAAGTTGGAAGTCCACCTGTTGTCAATCCCTGAAAGAGTTGAAGTTAAAATGTGCCACATTTATCACTTGTAAGAAACAAAAAACAATTTAAAGGTTGCTGATTGATTAATGATTATAACCTATGGTTTGCTCCATTACATTCTTTTTACTACTCCCCTTTATAAAAAGTATGAACTATAGTCAACTATGCTCACCTTCAAACGCTGCAAACTTGTTGTAGGTGGATCTGCAATAGCTTTGAAGATCCTAGCAGCAGATTCTGGATCTGATGCAAGTTTGTGTAGCACTTGCAGTTTGTCCATCCATGGTTTCTTCTCTGTAACATTCCCGAAATACCATTTCAATAAGCATCATTCCCTTCCCATGAAAATTGGTATAAATTCTATGTTGAGATAACCTCAAGTTAAAGTTAAATATTCCCTCTTTATCATAACAAAACATAGATATCGTTTCTTGTGTTCATAAGGTTCCCAATTTTGTTTAATTTTAGGGATAAAAACTGAGAGGGAACAGATGGATAAACCCAAATTTCAGAATTGTGATTTGTGTAGGCAATCACAAATCTGTAATTTCTAGTTATGTAGGTTTTCTTTTGATCTTTCTCATCTCAATTCAGAGCTGTAAAGTGATTGTGACATATTCAATGCATAACATTACCTTCAAAGAATGTACTTGGAGCAACAAAATCAATCCTGAAAACCGAAATGTTAAAAAATCACTTCACATGAGTAGAGAGGGAATATTTTTAACAGAGAGAGGAGAGAGAAGTGTGCCTGAGAGCATCAAGAACGATGATAACAATGCGATCAACTGCAGGTTGAGTCCAGCAAGTAAAATTTTCATGGTTGCTTTGAGGAGATGAAACAGGAAGTCCACAGGGAGATTGGGAAACCTGTGAACAATGACTGAAGTGTGGAAGTTCTGTTCTTGTGAGGAGGAAACCACTGGTGAAGAGTAGTATGGCAACACAATGGAGAAGTAACACAGAGAAGAACACCATGAACACCCATCTCTGGTCACCCCAGGACTTGCTCCTCCACCACTCAGTCAATGACATTCCCTTGTAGACGAATTTTTACTTGTGACAAACCAAAACCTATGCAATCACGAAACAGGAGACGGATGTTGGAGAAAAAGCTTCAGTGAATGAGCATATGAGTCAGCAAACTTTAGCATATGATCTAGCTATAAAGAACAAACCAAAGCCTTCTATAAAACATGATCTAGCTATAGGAAACAACCCAATGCCTTCTACAATAGCAGAGAACTTTAAACTACAATGAATAAAGCAGCATCAATGAGCACCAGGAAACTCAAAATCGAGACACTTCTCTCAGGCATTTTATCAAACAGCTAGTGGGCCTTTATTGCAATCATCTTTTCAGCGGAAATTACAAAAAGAGAAACAGATTGGTTCAGCAACATGTACTAGAAACAATAAATTGCTTTAGCAACAGGTACTAAAAACAATAATTTGAATTACTTACTTGTAGTTTGATGTCAGCAACGGAAGCTTTACGGAGGCATGATGGACTAGAAAACAATATGATGAACAGGCCTTCTCCTTTCTATTCGTCTCCCTTCTAATATTGGTTTTCTTTCGATTGGAGAAGCAGCGCCAATGAAGAAGAAAAAGTGAAGTCGATGGAGAACAAGAACGATGGCAGTGATGGTGATGGTTAATTGCGAACAAGCAATGTCAGCATATTGATCATCGGCGTGGAGAAGCTATTTTCAGAAGGAGCGTGTTTTTGAAAGAAGGGCAAACGAGGATTCTTTTACAGCTTTGGATTTCATTTTGAATCTCGAAATTACTTTTAACAAAAACAAAAAATAAAAATAAAATTTGAATACTTATCGTGATTAAAAAGTCTAATTAAGTTATCATGGTGGAAAAATAAATTTTTAAAAAAAATGTTTGGATTAATTTTTATAGGGAAAAAAATCAATAAGTCAATAAGTTATTTTTTAAAAGTATTTGTTTTAACTTTTATATATATATATATATATATATATATATATATATATATATATATATATATATATATATATATATATATATTTTCTTTTGTAATCCAAAAAATGATAAGGGTTTTGAAAAGTCATAACTTATAAATTTCTTTTTTGAAGAGTGATGACAAATTATTTTAAAAGTCTTTCATATTGCAAACATTTTGTTTAATTTATTGATTTTTCAAAAAGTAATAATTTGTTTTTATAAATAAAATCTCAAAAACCTTCTATGAGGCATAAATGGTGTATCAAATGACACTCCTTCATACTTATTTTTTTAATGAACCCACTAAAAGGCTTATCAAATAAGGCTTTTTAAATATTATCTTTCTTAATGAACCCAGTAAAAACCTTATTAAATAAGACTTCAACTGTTATTTATCATAATGAACCCAATAAAATGCTTATCAAACAAAGCCTTAAATAGTATTTGGTGTTAGTTTGAATTGTTAGATCAAATAAGGGGGTGTATGGGATTGTTTATTTAAACTGTAACACCCTGTTTCGAGTCGTTTCATAATTCTGGGTCGAGACCCAAAGATCAAGTATCATAAGTATTTGGGCTTTGGGAAAGAGAGGTTTAGACCTATTCGAATGTGGGTAATGTAGATTTGTGATCTAAGAGTTCGGTTTGTGTTTTGGAGTCAAAGGATAAAATGGGAAAAGTAGTGTTTCAGACTTTTTAATGAATTGTGGATTTTTGTTCGATGTGTTTCAAGTCAAAAGTAATCACATAGGGTTGTAGAGCTCCTTAATACCTTTCCATGGATATAAAGATCGTCGAAATCAGAGTTCAAACGAAGAAGTTACGACCGTTTGAAGTTTGGACAATTTTGGGTTAAACTGTGTCCGTTGGGCATACTAGGGCATCCTGAGTACGTTAGGCATACCAGGAGTACGTTGGGCGTACGCGATCAGTGCCCAAACCTTATTTTTTTAGTTTGAGCCATATTTAAGTTCATTAACTTCTCCAAACCCATTCCATTCTCAGCTTCCAAATCTCCAACACCCTCCCATGAAACCATAACCCTAGTTTGAGCCTTGTGAGCTAAAAGAAAGTGTTTTGAGTACATTGGATTGTGCATGGTGCACATTGGAGACGAAGGAACTCCTTGAAGAAGTGTTGGTTGTATTAGAGCTTGTAGATCTGGGCCTTGTTCACCTTGATCTCTCTTTTAGAGGTATAAAGTTTGAATCTTGATGATGTATTTGTTAGATCTAGCTAGTTTTGGATGTTATGAGCTTTTGGTCATTTTAGTGCATAAAGTTTAGATCTTGAAAGTTTGTGACCTTGTTATAGATAAAGTTTGAAACTTTATCCATCTAAACATCATTGTGATTCAGATCTAAAGATTTAAGACTTAGACTTAATGAATTAAGTTGAAAAAGATGCACTTTTGGTCCCTTTTTATACTTAAAGGACGGATCTTTGTGGTTTGGACCACTGTAATGGATAAAGTTTGAAACTTTATCCATTATGAAGCTATTGGGATCCATTAAAATGTGATATTCGTCCTTCTATTTCTTCCATGCAAGTGTCATGATGTCTTAATGGATTTATATAGTTAAGGTTTTGGCTTTTGGATCTTTTCTAGACTTGGAAAGTCATAAAGGTGGAAACATATGACTTAGAATGATGTTGTGTGTAATATCCCAAAATTACAGGCCCAAATTTTCATTTTTAAATATATTATTATAAAACCAATAGTATAAGAAAACATCCATAACATCATGTCATGTCAACACCAAAGTAGAATAATCAAAACATGTTATCGTAAAACAATATCAGAGTGTAATCCCCAAGATCTCGTGTGCGGAAAACCATAGTGTGATGCGCTGCGATCAAGCCAACTCCTTTCCTTTAAACACGAAGTACCTGAAACCAAAGCTAAAAACCGTAAGCACGAAGCTTAGTGAGTTCCCCCATCATACTACATATCATACAATCACAAAAGCATACATACTATCGGACAATTTTGGGGTGCCCGACCTACCCGGTACGACCATTCTGGGGTGCCAACCTACCCGTATCAAGCCATTATGGGGTGCTAACCTACCCATGTCAAGCCATTCTGGGGTGCTGACCTACCCGTCGATCCTAACAACCGACCCTCAGGGACTATTCCACCCCTTACTACTACTATCACATATATCATAACATAAACATACTATCAGACATATCTGGGGTGTTTGACCTACCCTTCGGTCCTAACAACCGAACTCTACTACTATCACATATAACATATCATGCCAGCATATAACATATTAGGTAGTATCAAACCTAGATGATATCACAAAGACAATCATCTAACATACAACTCCTACTGGTGGACCGGCATTGTGGCCTTAGACCCACCGCTACTGGAAGGTAACTCACCTCACACTGCTGAAGTCCCAAAGACATAATCACACACTTGGTGAAGTCCTGCAGACTCGACCCCAGCTGCTGGCTGACAGATTCCCGAACTGTCAACACCAAAATAACACCCAATTAATAATTGGGTCCCAATACATAACCATAAGTACATTCTTTGGGTAATTACTACATTACCTCTAGCTTGGCTTATTCGAGCCCAAGCCCCAATTCAAATATTAGCCAATTTATCTGTCACACCCCAAAACCGGAACGGCGGAAACATTCTGGGGTGGATGACGTCATGTCAAGTATCACAACATATGCAGTATAGTAATCAAAGTACAACAACCATTGCATTAATAGTAATAGTTTTACATGGTTTACATTACATTACATCATCAAAGTAGTACAAGTAATAATATAGGTGCAGCTTGGTACTAAACTGTCTTCACCACAAGCACCTGGAATGTACCTGTCTAAAGCTAACCTGAGAATACAAGTTATTTGAAAAGTGAGTATCAACAATTTTACAAATGTTGGTGAGTTCATAAGTATTTAGTGTCATTTCATCCAAATAATTTTAAATAAGTAGTAGTTTTAAAGTATACTGTGACAACCCGATATTTCAACTCTTTGTAATGGCCTAATAGGTCAAGTATTGTAAACATTTTTGAGTTAATAAAATTAACTTTGATAATAAAATGTCCAAAAAGTTTCTATTTAAATTCTTCTATGTTTAAATCTCATTAAACCATGATCGTACGTAAAAAGAACGCCCAAATCCGACTTCGTATATTGAAGTTATGATTTTTCCAAGTTCAGCTTAGCAACAGACAGCTAAAAACTCGAAACGGAGATCGAGCGACATTTGGCCGGAATGACCTAAACGAGAATCGAAGGTCTCGACAATGGTATTTCAACGGTAAAAAGTCTGGCAAAAACCGACGTCAGATAAAGAAGTTATGAATTTTTAAAGAGATTCCTTAATCACGTCATTTTAATAAATAAATAATAAAAATAATTTCGGAATTTGCCAACGGAATCTAAACGAAAGTTGTAGATCGTAGTCTCACCTTCGCAGGGATATAAAGAACGTCGAAAACGGAGTTCGTATGAAGGAGATATGAATTTTTGAAGTTTGATAAATAATTTATATATAATTTTTATTAAAAATTCGGTATTATCCGAAGAGGAGTCAGCCTAGGGCCGAGGTACGCGCCGCGTACCCTCGTACGCCCCGCGTACTCGAGGGCACGGCCTCGGATCGTCCACGTCGCCCTATGCGAAGCTACCCGACCCGCCGTCCCATCCGACCCGCTCCATCCGAAATACGTAAGCGATGACGTACGGGTACGCGCTGCGTATGCCCGTACGCCCCGCGTTCGGAGGCGGTTCAGCACCCCTATAAAAGGGATGCGAGCCTTTCCGAAAAATTTGTTCATTTTCTCTCTCTTCTCTCACGATCTTGCCTCGATTTCCGTGCCCGTTCAAACCCGAAGCTCTGGTCTTTTTGCTCAAGTCCCGAGGGTCGATTTTACTCCCGAGATTCCCGAGAATCCCGAGAAAAATCCGTTTCCCGAGACGAAACTCTGCCCGGTTTTCGATCTCGCTATCTTCAAACTCCCAAGTGAGTTCATACCC